AGGGAGAGGGAGAGGGAAGGAGAGAAGAAGTGGCAAGGAAGGGAATAGAAGGTGTCAAGGAAAAGGTAGTCGACCGGTTCCGAAAGAATGTCCCACTACACAAGCTCTGTATAGAGCAGGTGAGAGAGCGTTGGGACATCCTATCAATGTCTCCCTTTCCCTCCCCCCCCCTCCTCCCTTCCTCTCCCTCCCCTCCTCTCCCTCCTCCCTCTCCTCTCCCCTCCTCTCCGTCTTCACTCCTCGCTGCTCACTTTCGATAATTGAATTTGTGAAGGACCTCTTGAATGCTGTCGACAACCTGCACAAAAAAATCATTCCAGCTTTCCACACGCTTCCTTCCTCCCCTCCCCCTTCCTCCTCTCCCCTTGTCTCCTCCCCTCTCGCTCCTTCTGCTGTCTTCCTCCCGTGCTGCCGTTCTCTTTCTCCTCCTCTCCTCTCTCCTTCGTCCCTGTCCTCAGCTCACACTCACCTCATCGGGGTTCGGGATGGAGCTGCAGATGCGCATGGAGATGAAAGGAAGATGCGCGAGGATGATGGTCGGGTCCTGTTGAGCAATCAAGTCAATGGCGGCACAGACAGGAGAGACAAGCAAGAAGCGAGAAGAGGAGAGGGAGACAGGCAGAGACAAGAAAGTAGCAACAGCAGCACAACAGCAAAGCATGAGGCGGACGAGGACGAGGACGAGGGCGAGGAAAAGGACGAGGACGAGGACAAGGACGAGGAGGGAGATGGGGAGGAGAGAAACAAGGATAAAGACGAAGAGGATGAGGACGAGGACGAGGAGAGGGAGAAGGGGAGGGGGAGGTCGATGAAGTGGTCGGAAGAGCAATCGCAGATGCAGCGTCCACCTCCTTAGTGAGCAGATCAACAAGAGGGATGTAAGGAAGTACGCCGATGCCTGCAAGAGCATCACTGATGATGGAGGGCAGGCAGCTAGAGCAGGACCGATCCCATGCAGGAACAAGATCGGTGTCTCCTCCCCTGACTTCTCTCCCCCTTCCCCCCCGCGCCTCGCCCTCCTCGAAAGCTTCACGGAGAACATCAGCTTGCCTGCAAGAATGCGTCAGACGAGCTCATAAGTCGCTCGCTCCTCTCGACCTGCCCTCACTGTCCTGAACCCTCTCGCTCTCAGCAGGCAGCTTGTGATCGGGTTCACCAACAGGTGCATCGCTGCCGCCACGTCATCGCCCCAACTCGCTTCCCTGACCTCCCTCACCAACGTAGACGAACAAAGGAATGTGCCCTGACTTGAAGGGCTCCAGGGAGAAATGCCTGGCAGCCCATGTCATTCGCTGCCTGGTATGAGGAAGAGAAAGGTCGGGAAGACGAGGACCAGGAGGAGGACCAGTAGGCAGAGCAGGAGAGGAGGAAGGAGAGGAGAAGGAGAGGAGAAGGAGAGGAGGAGGAGGAGAAGGAGAAGAAGGAGGAGAAGGAGGAGAAGGAGGAGGAGCATCACCCCAGTCGCAGCGGTTCGCTCCCTTCCCTCCTTAACGGGAACTCGTGCCCGCACGCTCCTTCCAGCTGCCCCAGCATCCTCGCCACCTGCCGCCTCGCAGTGAGCTGAAAGATTCTTCCTCCACTCACCTTCGCTCACTTCTGCCTTGTCTTCCTCCTTCAAGTCTCTCTGCAACTTGCCCCAAAACCCCCAGGAGATCAGCCCCAGGACGTCCTGCGACAAGGGCCATCGTGAGAAATGGAGGCGTGTGGAGATGATGGAATGAGACAACAAGGGATGAAGCATTCACGAAAACAGATAGAAAAGAATTCCCCATTCACAAAATGAGACAATGGGGAAGGAAGGATTGACGAGAATGCTGCTCCTGGTTGCTATCTCCTCACCTCCCTTGTCACAGACTCGAAACAGCGACAGTCGTGAAACCAGCCAGCGACAAAACTGCAGGACAAGTCAGGCGCGCGAGGAGATGATAGCCCGTCTCTCGCCTCCGCAGACAAGGAGACCATTTAAGGCATCTCCCCCAGAGCAACTAGCAGCCCTCGTCAGGTTCCCTCCTGCCCTGACACCGCAAACAATCACGATTGGACCTGCCGCTCGTCGCGCGTCATGAGGGGAGGGTTGGCGACGGGATCGAAGCGCCGCTTCTCGCTGGGAGGAAGGTTGAGAGGAGCATTGCGGTGAGAGAGGGAGACTTGTTTTGCAACCTGTGAGCAAAGATGTACCATGACATCTCTGATACCGCCCAAAACTCAACCAGGCGACAGGCTGCCTGAAGCAGCGGGCTGACAGCCGATGTGATCAGAATGAAAGTCAGCAAGGTGACATCTCACCTTGTGAGAGAAGAGACAACATGATGGTCGAAGGCAACAACTCCTAGGAAGCTCTGGTGTGACAAAGAAAAGTCACCCCCGTCCCTCCAAGTTCTTCGCCAATCGCACCAGGCTTGCCGCCGCTCCCACGCGGTAATCGAGGATGATGCTGATCAGATTCCTTCCGAACTTTGTCCTGCAGTCAACACGCGGCACGTCATCGCTGTGATGGCTGAGGGTGCAACACTTGATCACCAGCTCCTCCTGAACTTGGTGCAGATGCCGCAGAACTGCCGCAGTTCGCACTTGCACTCGTCGGGAGGAATCATGCTGGCGCATCGATCGTCAGCACTCATTCTTCCTCTCGTTGATGATCATCACATCTTTGAGCTGCTTGCTCTCGACATTCCGCTGACCATCTTGAGGTTCTGCTGGCGGCTGGTCACTCAATGGGGGCCCGGGCCTGTCACACCAGAGTCACGTCTCTTGGATGGGCGCGTCTTCCTATCCGGTTGATCAGTGCTTTGTTCTCAAAGAGCGCTTCTAGTATGCCGTTCATGAGACAACCTCAGCCATGGAGACTTTATCTTCGTTTGATGTCACCTTTCCAGTGTACATGCCCTCACCGCCTCCTCCGGATACTGTACCAGCTCTCTCTCCCTACCCTGCTCAACTTCCTCTTATTTCCTCACATGGGATCTCTTTCTCATAATGTCTTCAACCTCCTGTATCAAACCTTCCTCTTTGCCCGTATGAACCTGCTCCTTCTCCCTCCGCTCTCCCTCCTTCCCCTGCCGCCATCCCGTCTCGTTCATCTACTTTTATATACATTTTTAAATATCGAAAAGACGTCTTTCTGTGTTAGGCTACACCCCAAGATATCGTAACCCTGCTAGCCCACCCCTCAATCACCATAGAAAAGGACCCCTACTGACCCCTATATCCTGTGGATGCCGGAAGTTGCAGGGGGCGGGACCTGGGGTTGAAACTTACCCCTTTAAATTTCGTAATTTCATCTTGAAATTTGAAACTTTGAAATTCAGTTGCGTGCCAGCCGGATCTGGCCCTTGGACTAGAAGAGTCACACCGGTGACCGGGGCCCGGCGAAGTTCACAGGCCGAGGCCGCTCTCAGTGATATTTCTTTTCTTGTTGCCTGTCAAAGTTGAAAACTTACCAGCGGCGTTCTGGGCCAGCGGCGTGTCGGACTGTACGGCAAGTACTGACAGTGACGATGGTGATGGAGACGATGGCGGCGAAGGCGAAGAAACAGGAGGAGGAGGAGAAGGAGGCCCGGAGGAGGAGGAGAGAAGTTCACTTACCAGCATCGAGAAGAGCGACATGAACAAGTCAGCTTACTGGGGAGACAAAAGCGTGTCTAGCGAATGCTGCAGCATCCATCCGGAAGATCTCGATTATGTAGCTGAGCTGGAGAAGGAGGAGAAGGAGAGCCAAAGGCTTGGCTTATCCTTTAGTTCGTCCCTCAGCCAGAACCCGGAGCAGGCCACGATATCCAACACCCTCCCTCCTCTCTCGCCTACTGGGTTGCCTGGGCTAACGACTTACATTTCTGGCCTCTCCATCGGTGAACAGCAACGCCGATGCAAACTTCCTTCTCCTCGTAACTTGGCATGCAGGTGAACCGGCTGACCAGGACGTGCAGGGCCTTCCAAACTTCTCTTGCCCTCCTCCGTCTTACCCTCCTCCCCCCCGTCCTCCTCTGCACGCACCCCAATCAGCGTTCTCTCGATCCCCATCGGCCCCTTCCACCTCCATCTTTGTGCCCCCTGTCGCTCAACCTCAGGCTCGTCCTCCTCCTCGTGCCCCCTCTGCCCCTCAGACTTCAGCCCCTGCCCCCTCTCACAAGCACACCTCAGCTCCTGAACCAGGTTCTCCTCCTATTTCTCCTCCTCCCCCTCCCCCTCGGCACAGGCAAGGCAAAGCTACTGGGAGCATGTGGCAGGAGCCGCAAGCTGAGGGTTCGGGAAAAAACAACCCGTCTTCTATCGCAGGGAAGGCGAGGGCGTTGACCTATGAAACACAGGAAGAGCCTGCAAGGCAAGTTGAGGTAGTGAAGTCAAGGACCACGGGCAGAGCTCGTCTTGTGACGACTTGATGCAGTTGCAAGACGTGGGGAGGAGCTGCTCAGAGAAGGAAGGGAGCAGAGCAAGAGAGGAGGGCGCAGAGGTAGCGGGAGACGGGCTGCCGTCGTTCCAAGTTTTCTCCCCCCCTGGAAGCAGCAAGCTCCAAGAGCGATCGAAACCATCGCTCCTCCATGTCTCTCCCATCCTCCGCAACTTCGTCGGGGACGACATGCAGCGTACGGAGAGCGCACGAGTGTTCCATTTCGGCGCGTCTTCTAGGGCTTTGGGGCGTCCTCTGGCGTTGGGCAAGTCCAAGAAGATGCTGGAGGAGGTGGAGGAGACAAAGGAGAAGATCGCTGAGAAGATGCAGAGGGACTTAGGGATCTCCGATCACAAGATGCAGGTGGCCCTCGAAGAGTTTCAGAGAAAGAGGATGGAGCTATCGGCGTCCCTGCCCAACTGGGGGGACACTCCGATCCTGCTGCTGGCAGGTGAGGCTGAGCGGAGAGAGGAGAGGGAGAGAAGAGAGGAGGTGGTGGACGTTGGATGAAGAGTCAGGGGGAGGAAGGGAGGCAGGGGTTGAGAGAGTAGAAGGGGAGGAGAAGTGCGGGATGGGGAGGGAGGGAGGGAAAGGAAGCGAGCGAGAGAGCGAAAGGGAGGGAGGGAGGGAGGAGGCAGAGGAACGTTTGTAGATCGAGTGTAACAGGACATTTGCAGCATGCCTTGGCTACGTTGAGGTCATCCTACAGCTCTGCAAGCAGGATGCCGACATGAACATGAGGGATGTATGGGGAAGGACAGCGATGATTGCCGCTGCGACACACCTTCCTCCTCCTCTCTCCTCCCTCAACACCTCCGTCTCCTGCCTGCAGAGGAGGCTCATCTGCATTCGGGTTCTGAAGCAGCTGGGGGCAAACGAGCAGCTGCAGGACGAGGAGGGGAACACAGCGCTGCATTCTGCCAGCTCTGACGGCTTCCTGGAGGCCGTCGCCCTGCTGCACGAGCTTGGATGCCAAGTAGACAGGAGGAACGAGGAGGGAAACACGAGTATGATGCTGGCGGCTGGAGCAGGACGAGGCCCCGTCGTCTCGTACCTGCTGGGAGTCAGAGGGGACGCGAGCTTGAAGAACGCGTCCTCCTGTACCGCCGTCATGCTCGCCGCAGCAGCAGGACATGAAGACTGTCTGAGGAGGCTAATCTACTACGGTTCGAGGACGGAGGTCGTGCGGGGGCCCGTGAGGAACCTGTACGAGGTGGAGGAGGTGGAGGAAAGAGGAACGATCCGCGTGCGGCTGCAGTCGTCGAGCTTCACGTTGGAGAAGGCGGAGGACGCTTGGCGGGTGAACTTCGCAGACAGGCAGCAAGTGACAAGGAAGGAGATGTTAAGGTACCTCAAGGCCAACGACCCCAAGAGCTCGCGACGCATTCATGGCGATCAGGAGATCTTTACGTTTGAGGTGCTTGAGTTGTGCTGCCTTGCCGCTCCGAACCCTCTCGTCTATCTCTCCTCCTCTCCACTCCTCTCCTCTCCTCTCCTCCTCTCCTCCTCAACTCCCCATCGTGAGCCCCAGCTTCTTCGGCTGTTTTACACATCTGTTTGATGTCGCTTGATTTGGACGCACGAGCTTCAATCTTCCTTAGCGTGTTATCTACTTTCTCAATGACAGCCTTCGTGTACATGGAAGGCTTCCCGCAAGTTGCCGGGCTGATATCTCCGTTTCAAACTGTCCGTGCCCTGACCGTACCTACGATGATTGAACCTGACGGAACATGTCACACCACACAGAACAAGAGTTCATGCTCATCAACACATCCCCATCATCACGCTCCGTATCGCAAGGTCGCATTTCAAAAGAACATCACAAAATCTAGTCGTAGGACCATTCCGCGATCATCCCCTTGAATTGCGCCTCATGCGCCCCTGGGCACTAATACACCAAGACTCCCAATCTCATCCTTGCTCCTCTACCCTACCTCAACCCCCTCCTGATCCAACACATGCATGATAATGTTCATCGATCAAGATTTCCACATCCTGCTCTTGTTCCTCCTCCAGCCCCTGACCCTCATTGTCTTCTCTGCTGCCTATCCATGCCCGCCATGCCTTGCCCGCCAATGGTTTAAGACTCCCGCCCCTACCCCCTGCCCACACGTACCACCCCAACCCCATGTCCAGAAATACCCCCCAGTCACACCCTACCCCTCAACACAAAATTCACCCATATCTTACCTACTGAACATATCACAATTCCTAATCTGGATGATAGTGAATTGGCATAACCATCATATCTTCACCGAATGAGATGAGTACCTACCACTGCCCATCTACACCCCTACCTCCCACCTGAGAACCCCACCTTTCTTTCCACTGCGTGATACGACCCCCTCACCCTGAAACAACTGAAACACCCTACCCTTTCGGACTAAAATGACAACCCTCCCTACCCCACCTCAAAACCACCCCTACCCCTGGTGAATGTGGTCGTGGTGGTCTGACACCTACTGAACTCTAAGCAGTCAAGGTAGACTTTCTTTCTAGTGACTACTATGAACATTTGGGATAGGGTCTTTACCTTGAACTGTGCTGCACCACCCTACCTCAATTTTTACCTACCAGCGTATCCAACTGATGTCATAATTGATGACCCCCTGGCTGCCTTGACTCCTTCATCGCTTCACCAAACTTGCACATGGTCTACTATTGCCCTAAAGATGACCGATCATATATTAATTCCAGTCAAGAAAAGCACTATCCCCTTACCCTTGGAGAAATCCCAACTATCATGCAAAAAAAATGAAGACATGGGGGTACTATGCCTTTTATGGCCATTCAAAAGGACCCCCACTGGAGAGCACATATAATCACCCCCACCCCCACCTTCTCAACAAGTCAACCACCCCTACCCCCCAATTGAAACAAGTGGAGAAGTGACCCTAGATGCAGCCACTACCGTAGATTTTAGTTAAAGAGCTGGTCTACCATGGACCCACCCCGTCTCCTTCAACTGAGGCAGTAGTGCCCTACATCGGAAACTGCCCAGGGGACACTCTGTAGTCGCAAGGGTAGAGTTGGGAAGGGGGTGAGGGTACCTTCACTACGGGTTACAAATAGGTGAAGTCTTGAAAAAAGGGGTGATTTGCCTATTTTTTGCCTATTATATGGAGGGGTAGGAAATACTTTAGGGGGGTCATGCAACAGTTGTGTAGTCAAATACAGGGTCCGTGATGCATTTCAAGAAAACCTGAAGCAATAAAAGGGGTGGAGGGTGGTACTTCAATTTCGATGAAATAGAAGGTCAGGTGTGGGTGGGGTAGGTGGTGATGGGGTGGAAGCCCGATGCATCCGCTCGGTTTTAGATATATATGTTTATTAAGTGGTAAATTAATATTCTATAATAGTACTGATGAGGTGATTTACAAATATGAAAGACCAAATAACAATATTATTAAAATATTCTGGTACATCGTGCAGGGCCAGCACCCTGTGGCAGCACAATGGGGGGTCATTTATAACATATTGTATACCAAACGCTGTACTCTAGGTCAGGAGATCGCGATCTGGCTTTTTCCCACTTCTACCAGATCGCGATCTCCCCATACAAAACCATCTTTTCCCAATAATACTATTTTAAAACGAGGGTGGCATCGTGGCCTGGTGATGCACGCGAAAGTCCAATATAGGGGCCCGGGGCCGCCCAGCCGATAGCGGATCCGAGCGTGCCATCACTCAACAGTTCCTCTCACTGATTTTTAACTTAACTTTGAGTAAAGATTAAAGTACCAAGGAAGGATTTTTCATTGCACCTGATCCCGGCATGGCGGCGGCCGTCAGGTTGAAGGTAAGCTATGTTGGAGGGCAGGAGGCAGGAGGCAGGAGGCAGGAGGCAGGAGGCAGGAGGCAGGAGGCAGGAGGCAGGGGGATGGAAGCGGGCTCGTGTGGTAAGATGTTGGAGGATACTAACTAGGCCGCAGCTCTGGTTGCTGGTATTGGCTGTCTTGCTCCAATACTCGCAGAGGGTGAGCTCAGCCAAGAATGTAGCTCAAGCTCCGAAGCCAGTGCTTGGGAGGTGACTCCACTGTCTACCTGTTGCCATAACACACGATGCTTCTTTGTGCTGTTTATGTTGTCTGCCAGCAATGATAGTCATGGATAATATACACGGCAGGCCTGGCTCAAACTTGAAGGCTGGCCTCGTTGGGCTCCCCAATGTTCTGAAATACCCTGCTTGCGTCATGTTACAATATGACAAGTGTTTGAAGGTGGGGAAGTCGTCGTTCTTCAATGTCCTGTGCTCGATGGAGGTCCCAGCGGAGAACTATCCGTTCTGTACGATAGATCCTTCAGTCAGCAGGGTTGGCCTGCCTTTTACGATTGTCTTCTGCTGACTTGTCTTGTTGAGGTTGAGATACCCGACGAGAGGTTCGACTGGTTGTGTGAGCATTTCAAGCCGCAATCCCGCGTCAGACAGTTCTTGCAGATAACGGTGAAGAAGAAGTGTTCGGAGGATGAGAGGAGGAGGATCAGGGGTAGGGCAGGGGGCAGGGGGCAGGGGGCAGGGGGCAGGGGCAGGAAGATGGAGATGGGAGAAGATGGGGGGGGGGCGAAGGAGGAGGAAGGAGGAAGGTTGGAGAAAGGAGGTGGAGAGAAGGATGAGGACGCTGTTGCTGGCAGTGATAGAGTGGAGGAGGATTTAGAAGGCTGACATCAAGGGCTGTGTGCAGGACATTGCTGGGCTTGTGAAGGGAGCGGCGGAGGGGCAAGGGTTGGGAAACGCTTTCTTGTCGCACATTCAGGTGCTCTGCAACCTGTGGGAATGTCAGCTTGCTCTGAGAGTTGAACAGGCTGTCGATTGCATATTCCATGTTGTCAGAGCTTTCGATGACACGGAGATTGCGCATGTGGAAGACAGTGTAGACCCTGTTCGTGACCTGGACATCATCTCCAAGGAGCTGATCCAGAAGGACTGTGAGTGGTGCGATCGGAGGCTGGACACTGCTCAGAAGAAGGCAAAGTTGGTGAAGGGAGGTGAGAGGAGGAGAATGTGGCAGGGACGATGGTCAGGATGATGTTGATGATTTGGAGATGAAGGACCTTGAAGATGATGTGAAGAGTGGTGGTGATGGGTGTGGTGGTGAAATTTTACATGATGATGGAGTTGGTTGAGATGATGGTGATTGCGATGATGACGATTATGGAGAAGAAGACGATGACCATGGTTTTAGGAGCTTCATCTCCAGAACAAAAAGAGCTGCAGATGCTCATGAAAGTAAAAGAGCATCTTTCTCAAGGTCAGTCCTCCGTCGCTTTTCCCCCTCCCTCTCCTCCTCTCTTCTCTCCTCCTCTCTTTCCTCTTCTCTCCTCCTCTCTTCTCTCCTCCTCCATTCTTGCCTCCTCCTTATCACTCACTCACCCACTATGCATCAGGAAAGAACATCCGAGACGGCGACTGGTCTCCAGCAGAAGTCGAGCTGCTCAACACGATGCAGCTCTTGACCGCGAAGAGAAGCATCGTGCTGATCAATCTGAGCGAGCAAGACTACGTAAAGAAGAAGAACAAATGGATCCCCAAGATCAAGACGTGGGTGGATGAGCATGCGCCTTCCGATACGATCATCCCTGTGAGATGGCAGCAGAGGAGGAGGAGGATGGAGAGGGTTGGCAGAGTGGTTGCTGAGGAGGACGAGGGAGGGCGGAGTTTGCCTGTGGTTGGGGTTGGGGTGTATAAGGACTAGGAACAGGATGAGTGGAGCCCAGTGGTATTGTAGGGGATGGAAGGGGAGGGAAGGGGAAAGGAGGAGGGAGAGAGGAGGAGGGGTTGAAGGGGGTTGAAATTTCGATGTTTACTGACTTGTCCTGCTTGTTTCAGGTCAGTTGCGTGCTGGAGAAGAAACTTGTGTCAATGGATGAGGCGGAGAGGAAGACTTTCTGTGAGAGCAACAGCGTGCAGAGTTGTCTTACCAAGGTTAGGAGAGTCTTGGAGGAGTTGTTGGAGCAGTTTGACAAGATTGTTTTCTTGTCTCTATCTTGTTTCTCTTACTGCAGGTGATCCATGCGGGGAAGGCAGCGCTCAACATGCAATGTTTCTTCACTGCGGGAGCAGACGAAGTGAAGGCCTGGGGGATTCAGGTGAGAGGAGGGAAAGACGATTGACACGGAATGGAGGTGTCTGCCATCTCTGTGTGACCCCTTGGTAGATCGTTCCTGATGTCTGATGATAAAATTTTCGGTGGCGCAGAGGATAATGGTGGTGGTAGTACTGCTGATGGTGATGGTGATGGTGATGGTGATGGTGCTGGTGGTGATGGTGGTGACGATTGAGATGATGATTGAGATGATGATGATGATGATGATGATGATGCCTTGTTTGCACTTCCCAGGAAAGATTTGATAACCTTTGTAATGTCTACCGTGTTGTGATCAGGGTCGTATTTAACTTCTGCTCTGATTGCGGCAGGTCGGGACGAAAGCTCCTCAAGCGGCCGGTTGCATTCACAGCGACTTTGAGAGAGGCTTCATCATGGCGGAGACGATGGTGATATCGAGGAGATGAGCGAATCTCGAGAATTGTTGTCATGACCTTGAAGCCTTGCTGTGTGTTGCGTCTTCCTTTGTTCTTGTTATCAAGTGATATCTTGTGATGCCAATGATGTTGACACGGATCACGTGTCAAGGCGTTCGAAGATCTCAAAAGTGCGGGAAGTGTGAACAACGTGAAGACGGCAGGGAAGTACAAAATGAACGGCAAAGATTATGTGGTACAGGTATGGAGGGATGTTCTGGATCCTGTCATTACCCTCCTTCTCCATCATCAACTTCTTCTCTTCCACCTCCTTTGTCAGCCTTTCCTTCTATCTTACAAAACCCCGCCCCCCCTGAATTCGTGCCCCTGCCTCGGTCCCAACTCCTGCTCCTGCCCTGTCCCAACTCCTGCTCCTTCTTCATCACCTGACCCTGGCCCTGCTCTATCCGCTGCTTTTGCTGTTTGTTCTGCTCCATCTATCTCTTTCCTTCACCCATATCTTATTGCTCTTGATTTGGTCTTTGTGTCTGCAGGATGGCGACATCATCAATTTCAAGGTTTGACATGTTTGTTGTTGTCAATCGTTGGAGTTGAGTTTGCGATTCAGTTCAATGTGTCACCTCCACAGAAGAAGAAGTGAAGTTGGTAAATCGAAAGAAGTGGAAAAGAGATAAGAGACAGAACAGAACAGAACAGAACAGGACAGGACAGGACAGGACAGGATGACTACGAGTGAAATTATTTGTACATGTAAAGACGGCAGAAGCTTGACGATAGATCATTCTACGAGCTAAAGAGCCGTGATTGCAACCTGTCATGTGAACCCTGACAATTCAAGATCGTCAGACATGATCTATGACGATAAGTTACGATTGATGTGAAACCTGAAGCAGGTCGAGGATGGGCGAAGAGGAGACTATCCCGAATGTTACTTCCTCCTTGACTTGCCCACCCTCATCCATCCAACCCCACTGCAAGCAGAAGAAAATATCAGCATGTTGATCTTCAATATTGACAACTTCGTGAAGGACACCAACCATGTCCTCCTCCTCCTCATCATCATCATCATCATCATCATCACCATCACCATCATCATCATCACCACCATCATCATCATCATCACCATCATCATCATCATCATCATCATCATCATCATCATCATCATCATCATCATGGCATCACCGTCATCATCTCAATCATCATCATCTCAATCATCTCAATCATCATAGTAATAATCACCACCACCTCACTGACCTCGTTCTCTTCTTCTTGTCGTATGGTATTCTTTTCCTCCACATTCATCCTCAGCGCATGCAACTCACTTGCAAACTTCGCCTGCTCCCCTTGTCAGTAACAATATGTGCATTCTTGCTTTAAATCATCCACATCTCCCTCCTCCTCCTCCTCCACCGCCACCTCGTCCTGCTCCTGCTCTTCCTCCTCTTTTTCCTCCTGCTCCTGCTCCTCCTCCTCTCTTTCCTCCTCCTCCTCCTCAACAACAACAACAACAACAGCAGCAGCAGCAGCAGCAGCAGCAGCGGCAGCGGCAGCGGCAGCGGCAGCAGCAGCAGCAGCAGCAGCAACAAGATTACCTGCACTCCCTGTCCTTCCAACGGCCCGCACACACCAAGACGAACGGCAGCGGAAAGTATTGACCTGGGTGACGTTAGGATGATGATGAGAAAGAGGGACGGAGGGAGGGACTTGGCTGGAGGTGGAGCAGGCAGAGCAGGAGAAGCATGATGAAGAGGCGGGCGGGAGCGGGCGGGAGCAGTAGCAAGAGCAGGAGCAGGAGCAGGAGCAGGAGCAGGAACAAGAGCAAGAGCGGGCGGGAGCAGGAGTTCAAGCATAAAGGAGATGCACAGACGCATCTCCTGATCTCAGCAGAGTGGATGACGAGGGCTCAAACAAGAGGAGGGAGAAGAGGAGCGGTAAGGCATGACGACATGGAAGAGGGCGGGAGGAAGAGGAAGGGGAGCGGCCCAGCAACCAACCTCAGAGTCAAGAAGAGGAAGAGCGACTTGACGGTCTCGATCGGTAGGCCAAGTCTTGCGCAGATGAAGCCGAAGAGAGGAGCGAAGTGATAGTGGAGGGGCTGCAGGGCCCTGAGGTCCTTCTTCAGGCTCTGCATGCACGCAGGGATGGTCACATGGAGCTATCCGACGCGCCTCCTCGGGTCCTCACCGACACTCTCTCGAAGGCAGCGGAGGAGGCGGCCAAGAAGCCTCGTCCCTGTGCGATGCTCGACTTGCGGGCCACGTGGTTAGACGCTAGGGCCGCGTCGCATGCTTGATCGAACTCGAGGAGGGCAGGGAACGAATGGCGCTGATGAGCGGCAGCGATGATGGAGGAAAACAAACAGCATTGAGAGTGAAGAGTTTCAGCAATGAATCGTTTGAGATCCTCCACAGACTTCACTCTCCCGCTCTGTACAGCCGTCTCGAGCCCCAACCTGTCGGCATGTTAGGTCAGGTATGATGAAATCCTCCTCTTCTCACGAATGATTCAGAGTGCCTGAGTGATAAGGTCAAGGACAACTTGAGCATCATGCAACGCAATCGAAGGATCCCAACTTCTCTTCAACTCCTCTTCACTTGTTGACACCTTTCCTCCCTCCCCTCCGACACTCGTACTCCCCCATTCTCATCGTGAACCTGCGCCTCACCCCTCCTTCTCTCGCTCTTCTCCTCTCCTCTCTGACTCTCGTCCTCATCCTCGCCCTTCCTATCCTCCTCTCCTCTCCTCCTCTCCTCTCCTCTCCTCTCACCAGCAGGGAAGGAAGAGTCGGCAATCTGCCATACCACGGTATCCATTACAGACCACCCTCTCTATGAACCCGACCCACAAAAAAATGTGAGTGACCACCCCCTACCCACTTGCATCCACCGTTCCCCTCATTTCCTCCTTGAATTCCCTAAATTTTGAGGACCCCCCACCTACCATGAAATCCCGGGACCCCCATCTCTCTACCCCTACCCAACGCTATTGAACTGCAAAACTTTTCAGAGTTTCTATTTTGAATAGGGGGTGGGGTACTCAATTGTGGGGTCCTTCTGAGCTAAATTTTCAGTGATTAAGGAGGGTATATTCAATTTTAGTCGGGTAGGGGTGGGGTTCAGAAAGTACGGATGGCGTTTATCCGATGAAAGAAATTGAGCGAGGAGGACCAGGCGGGCAAGGCGGGGGGGAGGAGGGAGGGAGGGAGGGAGGGAGGGAGGGAGGGAGGGAGGGAGGGAGGGGGGACAGGCAGGCAGGCAGGCAGGCAGGCAGGCAGGCAGGCAGGCAGGCAGGCAGGCAGGCAGGCAGGCAGAGGAAAGTGAGGGAGGGAGAGAGGGGAGAGAGGGGAGAGAGGGGACATAGAAGGGATGGAGGGTACGGAGAGGGATGCGACGGAAAGGCCAGAACCAAGTTCCCATCAGGGAGAGAGGAGGAAGGGAAGAAGGGGCGGATAGAGTTGAGAGGAGAGGGATCAGGGAGCAGGGATTGAATGGAGGAAGAGGCGAGGGTCGCGGGAGGGAGGAAGCAGAACAAGAGAACAGAAATGTTTTGGAAAGGAGTTCGGGAGTTCGGGAATGAGTTCTTTGAGCCAGGATGAAGAGTAGGGGAGGCGCGATGCTCATGGCGGGGGGGAAGGAGATCGTGAGCGAAACAAAGGCGGAGAGGAGGGGAGGGCAAGGCCTGTAGACGATATGGCAGGGCGGAGAGGGGTTTAGGTGAGCGGAGCATGAAATGAGGCAAGACAGCTGAAACGTAGAGGCATCTAGCAGCAGAAAGGATGAAGAGACTTGGTGGAGAGCAGAAGGTGGATCGATGAGAGATGTACCTGGTGGGAGAGGATGGGAGCTGTGTGATGGTACTTTGAGCCTGATTGTCAGGTGTCTTGCAGCAGACCAGGATGAAGGGGACACGATGACGATGATTGTCAGCATGTAAGAAGACAACCTCTCAGTTATTTTCCTTCCATCTTGCACTGAGAGAGACTCTTGTCATTTCAGTCTGAGTTGAGGAGTGAAGCGAATTTGCTGTCGAGGGAGGAACACCCTCCCTCATCCGCAGGGATGCAGTATCAGCGTCATTCAAGATCGGTGGACCTGGTAGCAAGCAGCAATCACTCGACGGACGTGAATGGATTCCAGACAAAGCTGGAAGGGATCGGGGTTGTGTTCAAGCTCGACAAAGCCAAGTGATCTCCTTCTCCCCGATGCTCTCGAGTCTCCTTTGTGCACCTCCCTGCCCCTCCTCTTGTATGTCCTCTCAATCATCTCACAGGCGATATTTCTACATCTCCCGAGTCATAGAGAACGGGGCTGCGTATGCTCACGGCAACATCTTACCTGGAGACATCTTCGTCGAGGTGATGGAGGTTGCTCTGGTTGCGTCTCTGCCTCACCAGGTTGCTTCCTCCAGGTGGATGGAGTAAAAGTTCACAACAAGACTCCAGACGAGCTGGCTCAGCTTATCTTGGGTCCTCCGGGCAGCATGGTTGACCTTGTACTCCGCCAGGGCTCCATTATCAAGGAGATTTCAGTGAAGAGGGCAAGGCAGCAGGCCAACGATATTGGCAGCACGCCGACCAAGCTTCCCTCCGACTTGAAGTTGGCTTATCAGATTCCCATGCCGTCCATGCAGATGCAGCAGGTTCTACCACACGACCACCGCTATGTCCATCCAGATCCCTCGCGCTCGATGCGCAACCCGTCGGATTCTCCTCCGCTCCTCATGCCTGCCAACTCGCTGCCCCGCACTGTGCATGCTGGATCAAGAAACGCGGGGATGCAGGACACGCGAGGCCTGCCGCATGTAGACGATCGCTACTTCGAGATGTCAACGAGGCCCCCGAGAGCTAGCGACATGCCCGACATCAGCCGCATCAGCCTGCACTCCCAGATGCCGATGAACAGGTCAAAGGTGACGCTGTCATGTTGTCTGCGTCAACAGGTGGTAGCGCCTGACAATCTGCCTGCAGGAAGTCGATTTTGCATCACAGTACATGACCTTCGGCCAACCACCCGCAAACTTCCAGCACAATCACACCCCAACGGTCCAGATCAGTCCAAGTGCGACAACATGGTTGTGGTTGTGAACCTTGTGGGTCCTGACTGCGTTTCCAGCAAGCAGCCATTATCATCTCCTCCAATCACCGGGTCTTGACTTGCCTCTCATTGCCACTCGCTGCGATGCTGACGTGTCACCAAGTAGATGCTCGAGACCTCAACCGGCAGCATCGAAACGCGTTGCCAGGTCATTCCGCTCCTCATGCCGCCATGCCGTCGGTAAGTTGGACTCTAGAGACCGGTGATGATGGTGATCTCTGCTGGCAACCAGGTCGAGAGTGACCAGGAGTTGGCCATTAGACTTCAGGCGAGGCAACCGTGAAGTCCCTCCGTCCCTTGACCTCCTTGGCGCAGGCCGATGAAATCTTGCGGAACGATCGAGCCCAGTCGGTCTGTGATGTTCAGTCCAGGACAAGCCGCTCAGGCCTGATGCACGTGCAGGAGGCGGAAAGAGATCATGTCTCCATCTCCCACGTACCCCCACCCAGATTTGCCTCCCATGCAAACAGCCAAGTCTTGTCAAAAGAGGAGGTTCCGTCAAGGAAAGCCACGTCATCACCTCCCACCGGAAGAGAGAAGATGGTAGCAATCGCTTGACAGGCAGCAGGAGTGATGGACACGTGCAGGTCTGGGTGATGCGGCATGGCATGAGGCTCGATGACCAGGTGCTGCTCGCATGCTGCGGTGACATCTGGCGGCTCTGACGACCCTCGAGGACCCAACGTGGAAGCTGTCGGCCAGTCGCCCTTATGACCCTCCCATCTGCGAGCATGGGAGAGAACAGGTCAGAAGGTGCAGGGGAGGCAAGACGGAGAAGGGCAGGAGGCAGTTGGGGAGGGGGAGGGGGTAATAAGGGTTGATGGAAGGAGGTGGAGGACGAAGGGAAATAGATCAGAGTGCTTGGTCTAGCATGGAAACTCAAGTGTGGTTACAGTGCAAGTTGGCTGGAATGAGTTTTAAATCTTCGAGGTGAGAAGAATCTGGTCGTAATAGTCCTGATGTGACATGCAGGTCACAAGTCGGCGACATCTCCTTCGTCCTCTCCTCGCCCTTCTTGAGATGCGTGCAAACCGCTGCAGAGGTGATTTCGCCCCCCTCGCGCTGAGGGTTGATCTTCCCTCGTGTAGGTGGCGTCGATTCTCGGTATCTCAAGGATCTTCATCGAAAATGACATCTGTGAAGTCTTGGAGCTGAGAAATGTCAGCGTTCAGCCCAAGTGCCTCAAAATGGATCAGTTGGTCAAAGGTGCTCCCCTGCTGTACCTGAGCTGGGGCTGACGCCACCCCCCAGTGGAGCCCATGCTCGCACATCATGAAATCATCCCCTCCTCCGTGAAGATGCCGTCGGTGAGCCTAGATCGACCTCCCCGTGGCTGCTCGGCCTGACTAGAAATCTGTTCAGTGGCCAGAGAACTTGCACGAAGCAAGAGTGCGCTTCAGAAACGCCTTCGACCGCATCGCCAAGTCTTACGACGGCAACGTGCTCATAGTCACGCACGGAGATACGTGAGGGCGATTGTGACATGTCGCACGAGCTGATTGTGGTTGTAAGGGTTGCTGAATTCATCTCGATGACCTCAAAGATTCAAACGGACAAGATATACTCAGTTCCAAATTGCTCGGCAGCTGGTGAGCTTTCCTGCCTCGTCTACATCTGTCTCACGTCTCAACAGGAGCGAGGCACGTGGACGGATGTTGGGACAAGTGCACGTACAATCTCTGGGCAACACGTGTTTGTTGTGTGAAGGTGTTTGCAGGTTGAGTGGAGAGATATTGATCTTGGACCAAGAGCACTGACTGGTTTGTATTGATGTTTTTCAAAACATGTATTCTTAATCTAAAATAAACATCAACGAATCACATCGGGAGCTCAAACTTGGGTGCCACGAACTTCGTCGTCGTAGTCGGCAGGAGCCTCGTACTCCTTCTGGGCTCCTCCCACCTTAGACTCATCGTAGATTCCGATGAAAGGCGCTCCGATGTAGGGGAATCCAGGAAGTCCATCGTTCTGGGGAGGGATCTGGTTCAGACGAGCCAGGAGCATGTCATCCATAGGGGTAACAGCGGTGGGGTACGGCTGAACGGGTCCGAGCTGGGGGAACTCAGGGTGAATGCCGCCAGGAAGCAACTGTCCGTTGGAGGCGGTGGCAGCAGGAGCCATCATGGTGCTGAAGAGAGGAGGGCCCATCATCTGAGGAGGCTGGCTTCCCCTGGGTGGCTGCTGTGGCTGCTGCGACTGGGACTGCGGCTGCTGCTGGCTGATCATGGCGGGGAAAGGCTGGGGGGCCGGGAAGGGCATGCTCATCATACCAGGAGGAGGAGCGAAGGCCATGGGGGCTCCGGACATCATGAAAGGAGCAGCCGGGATAGCTCCCTGGGGCATGGAAGCGAAGGGGAAGGAAGTGGGCATTCCGATAGGGCCAGGGGTGGTGCTAACGCGAGGAGGAGCAGCGCTCATCTGCAAAAAGCAAACGAGGTCAACAAGTGTCAACAAGCTACTCAATCGATCGGCTCTTTGCACTTCCTATCTGTTCCATTATAATCATCTTGGCTACTATGGAAATGCATAGAATTCCCTAGGATCATACTGTTCAAACGAATTCCGTTTACGCCCAGCCTCACGTCATCACACGCAGGAAAAGAAAGACATCATCGGTGACACTTCATGGAATCTTTCGAAAGCTTCAACGTCTGCTCTAGGTCAAAGCTTTACACTGCTTACAATCATCGGGAAAGAACGAGAAACAAGAAAATTCAAATCTTTCGAAAAAAATGTGATCACCAGCAGATATTTAAACCGCACGTCATCCACGAAATTACCCATATCTCAGAGCAGCATTTCTCAAACACACTCTTGCATTTCAATCTCACAAATAATCTCTCTTTGAAATCATCACTCCTTCAGCATTTGCCTCATTCCTCAACAACATCCTTGTTTCCGCCATCCCCCCATTCCTCTCCAACACCCTCGTCACTCTGTTCCTCCTCTGTTTATGCCACCACCCTTACCCCCTTCTCTTCCCACCAGTCGTTTGATGACCCGTTAATATTGTACCCCTACCCCCAATTTAACGGGTGTAACGAAACAATCTCACACCCCTACCCTTGATTCCTCATAACTTTAGCGTTGTCACACCTAGAGAGAACAACCCCTGGTGTTGGTGTTGAGATTTCAATAACCCCCCACCCCACACAAGTTAGGTCCACCCCCTGCTCTCACATGTCCAAACCCGGCTGGTAGTGGATGCCGCCCCCTACCCCACCCCATCATTGATCCGCAGTTTCACTTCCAACCCCAAAGCTTTCACAACGTCCATATGCTCATTTTGCCTCAAGCTGACATAAGGGAAATTACACCCTCACGGGTATCCCTCCAGAATCTTATGCCCCCACCCTACTGCACCCCCTCAATTATGAGGTCTCGCCGCTCGCCTACTAGTAACGGATTTTTCCAGTGGCAAGATCACCCCTACCTGCTGGATGAACGTTGAAATGGGGGGTTCATGGGTACAACCTCGATCTTCTCCACCCCTACCCTATGATCAGTAGAGAAGGAGAGGGAATACGGGGGGTAGTGGCAGCGCTCCTTTTCACTAGTGGGCTACTTCAAGATGTGATCCCGTCCTGTAACGTCACCTATCACCACCCATCATTACATGGGGAAAGCCAGGGGTGGTCATCACTACGGGTGGCGGCTAGTCGGTCGGCCGCTCCGACTGAGCGCCCGGGCAGGGCCCTCCGATGACTCGGACCTCGGGCCCGGGTCCGACGGTCCGAGTCACAGGCAGTCACTTGAGTGTCAGTTGCCAAGAACAGAGCCGCGGCCCGGGCCGGAAGTCGGACTCCCGCTTGGTTGCTCGGAACCGTTTCGGCGGCGGCCCGGCGCCGGGCAGCCGGGCTACTACTAGTAGACGGTGTGCCAGCGGCGTGTCAGTGCTCCGAGTCGGGGGCCGAGGCTCGGCCCGGACGGACTGCGGCGGCATGATTTCTATATTGATCGATTGACCATTCTTCGTTGCCTACGGTTGAGATGAAGATGCATTTGATGAAGTTTCTGAAGCTGTCAAAATATGTCGGTCCCATGGCTCAGTCTTGGGCCGCGGCGGCCCGCACAGGCTGGCCGGGCCCGTGACGGACGCGTGACGGACGCCCGGCCCTGCTCGGACCCGGCGGCCCCACCCGGCGTGACAGTCTCCGGGACTCCAGGAGACTGACTCCAGCCTACTAGCCTACTAGCCTACTCCGGGAGACCGCTCAGGCTCAGCTCGTCCAAAATCCTTCGTCCGGTCGGTAGGCTCATAAACGAGGAGGCAGAAACTTGACTGAAAGTTGTTAATACTAAATCCGCTTCAGACGCGTTGACCCGTCGAATTCTACTGACCATTTCCAATTGACTTTCATTTTACTCTATTCACGAACATTTTGGCTAAATATCCATATTAAATTTCAACTATCAAAAAGACATTCCGATAAAATTGTTCAAAGATCATGCCAACATTTTGGTAAAGTTTGCTCCGCCCTTTCATTTCCTGCAAACCTACAGAACTATTCCTAAATATTGAAATATGCTCTAAAAGTTTCAATTTTTCATCTAATCATCAACAATCACATCCTAAATGTTCATGGCATTTTCTGTGTCGGCTGGGACAGAATTGTGACCAAGGGTAGTCAGAAATCTCCTGAAATTTTCATTGATATTTCTTCTTTAACTTTAAATTTCAGTGAAAATATTGAAAAGTTTCGAAGCGATCTCTTGAGTTGTCGGGTAGGGTACTCTAAGGATGGGTCAACGCGGAGGGTGATCTACAGGTGGACCACAATGTCGCGGCTGATCGCTTTTGTGTGCGCCATGGCGCTCGTCAGCGTCGCCATGGCGCAAGCTGACCAGGATGAAGATTTCTTCTCTTCACCCCCCCTCTCCCTCCCTTCCATATCATCGTTCGTTTCCTCCCCCTTTATGGGACCCTCCCCCTTCACTGGCATTGGGAGCCTCCTCAATGATCTTGAGAAGGACGCCGCCCCATCTTTCGGAAGACCTACCTCCGTGCGTATGTTCAGGATCCCCCTCAGTAGCTTCAGGATGATGCCCTCGCAAGGAAGTGACGAGAGCAAGAGCCAGGAAACCGCTTTCATGCAGCCACGCATTCGTGTTTTCCGACTCCCTTCCCTTCCTTCCCTTGATGGATTGGTCAACCGCATGGTTTCGGACAGCCCAAGGTTTGCGCCCTCATGTTGCCAAAGATGCTATTTAATTTTATCGTTCTTTGTGATAGATCGCTTCCGGAGAGGTTTTCCCGCATTTTCAGTGGCATGGACTGCGATGCCTGCAGCCGTGTCAAGTCAAACATGAAGTCTGTTCGTATCATGATGGGGCCAGATGGCAAGACAGTGCGCACCACAACTGAGCAGGGTCCTGATGGTGTCATGCACACTACCCGCACTGTCTCAGATGGACGAAAGGTTGGTATATGCGAGATGTGCTGAATCTCGTGTTCATATGTATTTTGTCTCGATGAACTATGCTTTGATGGGAGGATGGCTTTGATGGAAATTCATCGTCTTTGCATGATTTCCATTGCTTTTCAGCCATCCGATGATGTCGAGGAAGGTAACGGGGATCTTCCTGATATTTTAAGTTCGTTTATCATCCCCCTTGCCGGACTGTCTCTGAATGATGATCATGAGGTTTCATCATCAAGTAGGACAGTTTTTAAGTGATGTTCAATGCAGAAGATGGATAATCTTGCCAATCGCGTTCAGTCTCACATGAAGGCTATCAGCATTGTACATGGCCGCGATGGCAAGACCGTACAGGTTTTTGACAATTCACTTCGTGGTTGATTCTTGCTCACTACTTGATCATCAGACTGTGTCAGAGCAAGGACCCGATGGCAAACTTCACACCACTAGGTCCGTTTTTGACGCCAATGGCAATAAGGTCCGCTATTTTTCCTTGTACCTTCCAAATATGATTTTTGTCTTTCTTTTTAGGTCACCGAGAACACCCCGGTTTTGAGCAGGACTGTTCCCGCAAATGTAAATGCACTGAGACTGTTGATCATATCAGTCCTCCTGAAATCAATCCTGTGTCAGCCTGTTGCTCCTACCACTGTGAAGGTTGATGCACCCAAGAAGGAGGCTGCCCCAGCTGAGAAGCCAGCGGTGATCTTTCTGCATAGTGTTCATTATCTGAAATTTTGATGATGTATGTAGGTGCACCACATTACCAAAGAGGCAGCCAAGGTGAACATGTCTCATCGCTGCAAATGAAAAACTTAAAGTTTGTTGAAGGACGCCGTGACTTCAGCAATCGATGTGAATGCTAAGGATGTTTCTAAGCTGCATGATGAGAATGCACGCAAGGTATTTCATTCCTCATGTTCTTTTTTTCTGCTTCTCTGAACTTGATTTCCCGTAGGAAATCGCTAAGACCATTGCGGACAAGCTTGGCATCAAGGTTAGTTAATTTCTCAACTTAAGATTTTTTTCACGGTGCAGTTTGCCATGGAACGTGTTCCCTGATTTTTTTCCTTTGCCAGGAATCCGATGTGCAGATTTCCATTGACAACTCTGGAGTCAAGGTCGTTTCGTGTCTCTCTAATTATTTCCTTGACCCTAGGTTCTCAGGTTTCCGCTGCCCCAAAGAAGGAGGAACCCGTCGCAGTGAAGACTGCCGCTGTGAAGGCTGCTCCTCTTGCCGAGTCGGCAAAGGCTGTTGACCCCGTCGCTGCTTCGAAGGCTCCTGTCAAGGTAAGGGAATTGCATCAAGATATGTTGGCTCAACCGCAGCCAACAGGAGTCAAAGAAGGAAGACAAGGTCGAAGATGTTGATGCCCTTGAGAAGGACTTCTTGGTGCGAAACCTCCCTTGGGCTCCGTTCCTATCTCACATCAGTTGTAGAATGAGGAGAAGGAGGAGCTGGCAGTGAAGAGCCGTGAGAAGAGCACTCTTTCCGAAGTCAAGGTGAGATCGGGGTTGCAGCGGCAGCACCGGACGGCTAACTTGGCCACACAGAGGGCCGAGCTTGAGGCTGCTGCTGCAGTTGCCAAGAAGCAGAAGGCTGCTGACAGGCTCAAGGTGAGGGACCATACTTGTATGCTTCATGCAACTAAGAAGCCTGTAGGATCTCTACAAGAAGATGGAGGCAGCGACCATGCTTATTAACTAAAGTGTGTTCGATGACAGTCGAGCCTGCAGAGAGTTTCTATGCATGCGACTTGGATATTGTAAAGTAATTTACGAAAACTCCCCTACTTGCTCAGAATCTGCATAGCACAACAACTCATCCCTCCGTCTATCTGCCTATCCTCACAGCCTGTTGTAATGCATGAGCTTGTATGTTCTGTTAGTCGCTCTCATACAGAGCGTACGACATGTTGGAGTGCGAGTAAGAATGTTTGATCAGAGGAAGTAACAGCAAGAGCATGATAATCACTTCTTCGTCTCCCTTCTTCTTCCTTTCCTCATATCCCTCAACCCCTGCTCATTGTTCAGACATTCCATTCCATCCCACCCCTACCCCTTCTTTTCCCCAGAAAAATAGTCTATACACGCCCATGACCCCTACCCCTGTCATCCTATTAGAATTATGTACCCCATCCACAGACTACCCCATTTATTCCTGTATATTGTACCCCTTACACTCGATTCCCTGCCCTGTGCCCATACCACCACCCCCTCTGTCTTATACCTCTTGGTCATCATGCAGAAGGCCACCTCCAGCGAGTGGCGATGGCGAGGAGGGACAGAGGAGATGGAGAGGAAGGAGGAGGATGAAGAGAAGGTATAGATGGAGAGTGGAGGAGGAGGAGTAGAGAGGACTGGATGAAGGAGGAGGAGGAAGAGGAGGAGGAGGAGGAGGCGAGGGTATGAGAGAGGATGGTCGACGACGAACAGGGTTGATGGGAGGACGAGGAGGATTCGGAGGGGAGGAAGGGAGATGAAGGGAGATGGAGAAAGGGGTAGAATCGGACGCAGAAACATAGACAAGCGAAAGTGCAAGGGTCGTGGAGTAGGGGAAAGAGAAGCGTAGAGAGGAGAGCCGTAGTGGGCAAGAATGAACGGGCCCCGGAAACGAAGAGAGGAGAGGAGATGTCAGGACGGAGCATTCGGATTACATGGTGAAGCTTGATAGTAGAAGTATCGATGAAAGAGCACAGGATCAAGAGGAGGATGGGATGTGATCGGGGGACGAGGCAGATAGCAGGACAGAGGATAATGCAGAGGGTTTAGGGTAGAGGTAAAAAAGAGAACTGGGGCATAAACTGTCAGTCAAGGAAGGAATTCTTGTTAAAGTCAAAGAACTAAGGTCCATGGGTGAGCATGAATAGGTATGAAAAGAAGGTAGGGGTGTGGAATCAGAACGAGGCAGTTATGTACATGTCAAAGGAGGATGAGTAAGATGTCGTGGATGACGATGCTGCTCCTGCAGGAGGCGAATGCTAGGAGCCGACGAGTCCTGCCGTCTGTTGAGTTGTCGCTTCACCAGGATCGCAGCATGAGGCCTCAGGCGTGACGGCAGAGGAGCAGACGCCGCCAGCTGACCTGCTCCTGCCAGTCCGATGGAGGACCTGGAGCTTCTTCCGGGTGAAGTAGTGAACCTCCGCCTTGAGAGGGTTGGAGTGTTCTATGGCTCGACGTGTGGGCTCGACCCGCAAGGAGGGCATGGCTCGCTGGTGGTTACCAACTATCAGATGTCCTTCAACTGGGGAGGAAAGAAACCGATCTGCGTCCCCCACCTCAACGTTACGAAACTCAGCAAGCGCGACCGTGCGACGGACAAGCGCTCGGAGGACTGGGATGGAGGGCAGGGGAGCGCGGCAAACCCCCTCACGCACAAGATGGGGATGCTGCACCTGGAAAGGAGGGACGCGACGCCGATGACCATCATCCTGTTCGCAGCCTCGACGCTGATCGACTGTATCAATGACGAGCTGTACCCGAACCCTACGAGACAGTGCTCCAAGTTGTTCGAGACCTTGATGTCTTATGTCTTTCCTCGCTCACTCACCAAGGTCCCTCGATGCCCTCATGGTCCGCTGGCCTGACGTCTTGGTCCAGGTCTTCGCGTTCTCTTACCGACAGCAGTTCGAGCCCGAGACTGATGGTTGGAAAGTTTACAATCCAGATGATGAGTTTGCTCGACAGGTCAGTATGAAGTTTCGACCTACTCACTCCTCTCACTCACTCGTTCTACTCTCTTCCTGTCCGTCTACCGTCTCACTCCCTTCTCTTCATCTCTCAACTTACTCCCCCCTTCCCTTCTCTGCCTATCCTGACCCATATGCGTTCCCCAGGGTGTTCTGGCCCCCAACAGCGGGTGGCGAGTCTCGCATGTCAACCACGAGTACACAGCCTGTGAGTCTTACCCGAGGAAAGTCGCGGTCCCCGCGGGGATCCGCGACTGGGAGATCAAGAAGGCGCTCGAGTTCCGAGCCAACGGTCGTTTCCCCATCATGGTCTGGAAGAGCCCGAGGGGGGAGAGCGTCATCTGCCGCTCTGCCCAGCCTCTCCCTGGCCTGTTCCGCATGCGGAACAAGGAGGACGAGCGGCTGGTGGGGCTGATCCGAGCGGCCAACACGAGTCCCGCCCCCCTGTATATCATCGACGCGCGGCCGCACACGAACGCGCAGGCCAACACAGTGTTCCGAGCCGCGGGGTACGAGCGAGGGTCGTATGAGAAGTGCGAGATAGTCTTCCTTGGGATCGAGAACATCCATGCTGTCCGCAAGTCCTACACGCGCCTGCGCGAACTCTGCACTTCCCCTCCTGCGGACGACGACGAGCGATGGATGCAGAACGTGCAGGAGACGTACTGGCTGCAGTACATCTCGAAGCTCCTCCAGGGGTCGCGGAGGATCGCGGAGTTCGTGATGCTTGAGCGCGCCTCTGTCCTCATCCACTGCAGCGATGGATGGGACAGGACGCCGCAGATCTCGTCGCTGGCCCAGATGATGATCGACCCCTTCTACCGCACACTGAGAGGCTTCGAGGTGGTGGTGGAGAAGGAATGGTGCGCGCTAGGACACAAGTTCAGCCTGCGCTATGCGCATGGGGGATCGTCAGACAAGCAGGTGTGTTGAGAGGGTTGGCAGTTGCTCTTCCCTCTTGTCAGCTGCTCACACTGCTGCTGTGCTTGCAGGAGGCGGCGCCCGTGATCGCCCAGTGGGCTGACTGCATCTGGCAAATGATGCGGCAGTTCCCGACGGCGTTCGAGGTGAACGAGGAGCTGCTGCTGGAGCTCATCGAGATGGTTCACGTGTGCAAGTTCGGGACCTTCTTGTTCAACAGCGAGTGCGAGAGGCGTCGGGCTGGCGTGCACAAGAAGACTGTGTCGTTCTGGTCGCACGTCAACATGAACCTTGACAGGTCTTGACCCAGTCAATTTCTCCTCCCCCTCCTGTTGTGACAACTCCTCCATCTCTTGTTGATATCGCTCCGTACATGGTCGTTTACCTTGTTGTTGTTGCAATGACTGTCGCTGTTGTCTCTGTTGAACCTTCTCGTCCCCACGAAAGCTTCTCCTCATACCTTTCTCTTCCTCCAGGTACCGCAACCCCCACTACGTCAAGTATCCGGGTTTGATCTTCCCGGAGACGAGCGTGCGGAGGCTCTATGTGTGGGAGAAGCTCTTCTTCCGCGACTGTACCTCGTTGCCTCCCCCGCAGGATCACTGCCCGAGCATCGAGCTTGAGTCCAGCGCCTCGCACATCAGCAGGCAGCTAACGGAGCTCAACGGCAGCGTCGAGAAGCTCTCCAAGGAGAACGCGGAGCTGCGCATCCAGACAGACCGAGACAAAATGAGGATAAGGGAGCTGGAGAGTCGCTTGCGATCCCTGGCAGGAGAAGCCTTCTCCCCTCATGGCTCCTCCCACTCCGCCGGACTAGAGATGGGGCAGAGGTAAGTGATGCCTCGTCTGTGAACCTCCTGCTCCTCCTCCTCCTCCTCCTCCTCCTCCTCCTCCTCCTCCTCCTCATCCCATACCCCATGCACCTCTACCTGTCCCTACCCTTCTCCCTTGTCTGACTCGTGTTGCAGGCAAATCTCAGCAGAGTCGCTCGACAGCTGCTACAGCCCGGCGGGCTCGAGGAATGGAGATTTGGGGAACGCGAGGGAAATGTGGGCGAGTCCGACGGGAGTCTTGTGGAGCTCGGAGACGAGAGGCAGGAGCATCTTCGACCTCGATGAGAGCTGGCACAAGGCCGTTCGTCTTAGAGCCGAGGGGATGAAGATCGACGGACAGGTGCTCGTCTCCCTGCTACCCTCAGTCCTTGTGCTGCTGCCTCCTCCCTCCTCGCAGCCTGCTGATGCTTCCTTCTCTCTCGCTCACTGTCCCCTTGTCCAACTCTCCCTACATGCTCGCTCTCTCATCCTCCTGCTTCTCTCCCCCTCCACACCTTCGTCTCCTCTTCTTCCCCTTGACTTGCTTTATATGCAGATTGCCGAGCTCGTGTGCGACGTCGTGGACTGCGTGGCGTCCCAGCTGGGGGAGGCACTTCTGCCCTCAGCGAACGGGGAGCAGCGATCATCGAAAGCTGCGTGAGTGACAGCATTGTGCGGCAGCCCTCGCGTTCCTGACAGTGAGGGGGCAGGAGGAGCTCGGAGTCGGACAGCAGCGAAGACCAGGACGAGGAAGGGATGTACAGCTCAGACTCGAAGCCGCGAGTGCTGGCGCGAGAGACGAGCTCCGACCCTTTTTCCGAGAACGAGTCGACGGTGAGTCGAGAAGAGACTGCGTAGAGGAGAGGAGGGAAGCAGAGGAGAGGTTGTCAGTAGAGCGGAGGGAGGAGGAAGAGGAGGAGGAGAGACTTCGGTCGTTTCCCCGTCTCATGGCTGGGTACAGGGGGGATCCGCAGCAGAGACGGCGATGGTGGAGGGAGAGGAGGGATGGATGTCAAAGGCTGCAGCACGAGGAACAAACCCCCTCCAGGATCCCTTCGGACTTCACCCGAGGTAGAGCATCCCCCGTCCTGTGCTCCCTTGACCTGCTGCAGTGAGAACGGGAACATGGAGGGAGGGAGGAGGAGGAGGAGAGGGGCAAGAGTGAAGGACGTCCCCCCGGGCATTTCTCTTGAAGCTCCACTGGATGAGACGTCCGCTAAGTGGATTCCGGATCAGGTCAGCGAGAGGGAAGGGAGGGAATGGAAGAGGATGGGGGAGGGAAGGGAGAAAGAGATGGGAAGAGGATGGGGGAGGGAGAGGGTGCGGAGGGAGGACGAGAGGGTCTGACTGGGGGCTCAGGGAGTCTCCCAGTGCTTCAAGTGTAAGAGAAGCTTTGACTTCTTCAACCGCCGCCATCACTGCCGATCTTGCGGGCGGATCTTCTGCAGGTGAAGGGGAAGGGGAAGGGGGGGGGGGGAGGATGGGAGGCGTCTGATGTGGCTCTGCTGCAGCGCCTGCTCGTCTCAGAAGAGCAGAATCTCTCGCATGCAGATCGACAAACTGGTGAGGGAGGCAGAGCACCGAAATTGTTGATGGAAGAGGAGGAGGAGGAGGAGAAGGAGGAGGAGGAGGAGGAGGAGGAGGAGGAGGGACGGAAGGAGGAGGGAGGGAGGGAGGAGGAGGAGGGACGGATGGAGGAGGGGGTAAGGGGAGGAAGAGGAGGGAGGGAGGGAGGGAGGGAGGGAGGGAGGGGAGATCTGACTGAGTGTTGTAGGTGCGAGTTTGTCTGCGATGTTACACTTACCTACAGCGGCTGGAGTCGGACCTCGACCCCTAGACCTTGAACCATTTTCACTAGTCACACACCTATCAATTCCTAGACCTTCAACCTCATCTCCCCTCCACCACCACCTTCCCCTGATCTTTCCTCCCGCTTTGAAGGGCCCATCAACGCCTTCCTTGATGTACAAGAAATGAAGATTAACCGCTCTGAGCGGCTCTAGTTTACAGCAATCTTGTGTTTCGCGTGAAAAGAGGTGCAAGAGACCTCGAAGACGCCTCCTCCTCCTCCTCCTCCTCCTCCTCCTATCTCCCTACACCCAGCTTCTCTCTCATCCCTTCAAGCTTGGCATCGCCCTCGCCCTACCCTCCTTCCCTCTCTCCTTCCCTCTGACCTCAGCCCGTCCCCTTACCGTCCCCTGCTTCTTCTGGCAGAGCCTAAGGGAAACGAGGGTCCTTGCTGATCCTCGGGATCTGCTCCACGAAGGAGCTGGAGAGGCCGAAGATGGACTGAGGGATGTAGGGGTTCAGGGGGGCCGCCTGCAGCCACGTCATCACTCCGCCTCCTTGAACTGCTCGCACGCACCGCATAAGGATTCTCGGTGCATGGCATGACGCAGATTTCCTGCTCGCAAGTTACAGGAGGAGGGAGGAGAGCGGGGAGGATGCTCGGATTGGTGTCGAGAGCTGACCTGATCGATGAAGAGATCAGTGCTGGTCATGTCAGGGTTCACTTCAAGGATCTTCTTGATGGTTGTGCGGAGTCTTGCGGCTGCGAACTGCGTCATGAAAGGAGTAGGAGGAGGGAGCGGCACGTCAAGGAGGAAAGGAAAGAGGAGATCGCAGAATGTTTGCCAAGGGATCAAGCGAGACGAGAAACAAGACAGTGAGCTAGTGAGGTCAGAGAGGGAGCAGAACGACTAGGATAGATATCGAAGGTGAACAAGTTGACACCAGAAGACGAGGAGGAGGAGGAGAAGGAGGAGGAGAAGGAGGAGAAGGAGGAGAAGGAGGAGAAGGAGGAATATACCGACTCTTGAAAGTGTGTCTCCCAGCTGCACCTTGTACGTTGACCCGATCACGACGGGCAGATAGTTTCGCAGGACCAGGTCCGGATCCTGAATGTCCGGATTGAAGTTCCACAGGCGCAGCCTGCATCATTTCAAGTCAGCAAAGGGAGAGGAGGAGAGCGAGAGAGGAAGGAGAAGAATTGCAAGAAATCAGGGGATAAGGTCAGGATGAGGAACAGCATCAAGTGTGGTGTTGGTGGTGGCCAACGAGGCGATAGGAGGAGTGAAAAGAAGGGGCAGTTGAAGAAGGTAAAGGGAGCGGGGGAGGAGGAGGAGGACGTAGGAGAAGGAGACGGAGAGAGGCGGAGGAGGAGGAGGAGGAGGAGAAGGACGTAGGAGAAGGATAGGAAGGAGGAGGAGGAGAAGGACGGGAGTAACCAGTTGGTGTCGAAGTTGTACTGCTCGGCCACGTAGTTCAAAGTCTCTCCGACTCTCGTACAATAATAACATTTCATAACCTTGAGGAAAGCGCAGACCTGACGTGCGTCATACTTCAGCCCCTCACCTCACAACACTTCTTCCTCCCTTTCTCCCTCCTCTCCATATTCCCACCCTCCTTCCTTCGCCCGCTCTCCCGAATTTTTGCGCCACACTTCCTTGAGTAGCTTGTTTCTGGCACCTCTACCCTCCCACTCGTCCTTTACACTACTGGTTTTGATGATTTCTTTCCCCAATCCCCTGCTTTACCTCAGCAAGGCTCGAAGAATTTCCCACGTGGCTTCCGCGCATGCAGACCTGATGCGTCTGGCCCTCCATTCCCCGCAGAGGAGTCCACTGGAAGACAGCTACCACCTTGTTCCCCTGCTGCGAGTTCGAGAAAGCTCGCCAAGGAGGAGACAGCTCTCCTGCGCCAGATGGTTGAGAGAGCTCGAGGAGAGGAGGAGAGATTACCCGGAGAGACGAAAAACCCGCTTCCTGTACCTCTGCAGCTCATTTGATCCCACAGGCACTGATGGCGGGGATACGCTTCTGCCGCCGATGTGGGTTCGCAAGCAGCAGAGGTCGACGAGGAAGAGCAAGGCGTGATGCTTCCAGCCCCGCAAGCGCAGCAGGCCTGAGAGGAGGGTGAGGGGCGGGGAGGAAGATCGCTAGAGGATACGCAATGAGGTGCGAGAGGTCAAGGACAAACCTGATTAGCAGCGAGCCCTCCGATCCGAGCAAAGGCAGAGAATGAGCCCCCCAACCTGCTGCAAGCTTCACCCAATCCCCTCCTCTAGATGAAAGCAGAGACTGTGCCTCCCTGCTCACCCGCTCACAAAGTTGGCTCCTGCTGCTCCGTCCCTGCAGAACCCCAGCTGGACATACTGGTCGCACGTGCGTCCCAGCCTGTCCGTCCAGGGAGTCTCTGTGAGGGAAAAGCTTGTCACATCGGTGCAAGTCTTGTTCTGCGCCCTCCAACTCCAAGAGGCGCCCGGAGGAAGCACCTTGGTCGTGTCCTCCAGGTAGACGTCGTAGTTGGCGTCTGAGATCCCCATGGCGAACTGGATGGGGCAGTTGATGTAAGCCTTGTACTCCCTCCTGTCCAGAACCCACTGGGCTGTTGCCTCGAAGGTGGTGGAGCTAACGACAGACTGCTGCATGCTCACAGGGTCCGTGAACGTCTCCGTCCTCCCACCTATCACCATCCCCACCGTCCCCGCGTAGTAGCTCGGCGCCGGCTTCACGAGGTCGATCACCACCGTCTTGACACTCGATCCCCTGCCCGCACTGTCGAAGGCCTGGAACTTCACGGTGAAGGAGCAGGTGGAGGGAGAGGAACAAACGGCCTGACTCGGCCCCGGCGTCCACGTGAGCGTGCGAGCTACGAGCCGTCCTGGGTTGCTCTCCGCCTTCCCCACCTGATCGGCTGAGCACCATGTTCGCATGGCGATGACCTCACTGTCAACCTTGTTGGCGATGAAGGCGGCGATAGAGGCATCTGGTACCACCTTGAACCCGAACGTCGCCGTGCCGAAATTCTGGCACATGGGACAAGGGTACGCGCCTCCAACCGAGACGCACCTCTGATAGTTTCTGTTGGCCGTGACCTGAGCTCCGTTGGGAACGCCAGGGTCCTCCAGCACATAAATTGAGACGTCTGCTTCAAGGCTCTCTGCGTACACGGTGAAGGCTAGGGGACGGCCCACGTACGCTGTGAGGCGACATGGCGTGCTGGAGTCGTTGAGGAGAGGCCCTGCGTGCCTCCCTCCTCCATAGTCGAACATTTGAAACTGCGACGAGAACAAGTTCACGCCTGCAGAGTTGTTCTTGAACACGGAGAGACCGTTGAGTACTGTAGGCGAAGCCTCGCCATAATGAATGTGATTCATGCAGTTCTCTTCCGGCCAGAAGGGGTTCGAAGCCCCTCCTTGTATGACGGAGAAGAGGCAGAGAAGCAAGCATGTTCGAATGCAGCTTGTTGCCATCTTTGACTGGGAGAAAAGCGAGAAAGAATGTGAAGCAACCATATCACAATAAGACTTGAAACGGATGACAACGAGGCTGGGAGGAAAGGGAGAGAGGAGCGGGAGAAGAGGGAGCAAGAGAGGAGCAGGAGGGAGGGAGCAAGCGAGGAGGATAGATCGGCTGAGGGGAGGAGGATCAGGAACTTGAGGGCTTGGGAGGAGCCAACAGATCGGCACTTGCCAGCGCCATGGCGGATGAGGCTGAACCGTTAGACCGTTTTTGATGGGTGATGGCACAGGGGGTAGGGGGTATGGGGTAGGGGATGAAGGGGGTAGTGATGATTTTGAATGGAGGAAGTACGTCAGGGGGGTCATATGCCACTTTACATATAGAGCGGGAGGGGTAGTTCGAACACAGGAAGGACGGGGTCCTGTAGGACATCAATTACCTTTATAGCCCAGGGGTAGGGTTACATCCGAAGCAAGTGAACCCCCACCCTACCTCATGATATGAGGGGAAGGTGGTTGAAGATTTGACAGGGGTGGTCGAGTGGTACGGGAGCCTGTAGCGCTATGTGGTCGGGCAGCGAAGGGAGTATGAGCGCGGCAGAGAGCCTACTGGAGCGGCTCATGGCGGGGAACATCAGCACAGAAGTGAGCAGAGAGGATGGGAGAGGAGGAAGGTACGAGGGAGACGACGAGGACGGGAGGAGGTGGAGAGATAGCGGTGCTTCTTGGTATGCAAACGGGTACGGTGAAGATGAAGAAGCGGAATACAGCAGCGTCCAGTCGAGTGTGTGGTCGTCTAGCGTCGATGTAAGCATTCATGAACGAACAGAGAACATGATGGACCTGAAGAAGACGATCAGAACTCGATGGAGTGAGTTCGAGAACCAAAATGCTGGCACTTCACCTTCGAACCTATCCTCTGAAGTCTTCCAGCAAGATTCTAGAAGATCCAGCCTGAAGAATGGACTCAGCGAGGAGCACGGAAGAGGAGAGGTGATCTATCTCTTGATCTCTTGCCTGATGCCACGTGAAGCTGCTGCAGGCCAACATAGTCGAGCCCCATCTTTGCTTGGCGCGGGAGACATGGAGGTCCGACGTAGCAGGCACTATCGCACTAGAAGAGGGCGAGCGATGCAGGTTGATCCGATACAACCCGGAGAGATGGTCTCTTGTCGCAAGCCTGGAGAGGAACCGGGACTTCGTGGGATGGTTTCCCTCCGAGCTCCTCCTGTTCCACAGGGATTCGCTGCCCAGTGTGGCGGATGGTGCGAGCCCGCGGTCGTCCGCGCTGTCCATAGCGAGTCTGTCGTTGAACGATGCGATGATGAAGGAGAGGATGCTCCTGGCAGCAGCTGAGGAGAGGAAACACGAGATGCCCCGGGGTAGCGCCAACGATCCGTCGGCTGATCGCCTCCTCCTCCGCAAGGCCCAGCTACACCACCAGGAGCAAGTGCTTGAGGAGTTCTGGAGGATGAAACTGTGAGTATGCTGCCTGCGTTTCGTTTTCTCCTCCTCACTCTTGACTCCCTGCCGTGTGCTCAACAGGAAGTCTGACAACTGGAACGAGCGAGAGGCTGCCGTCATCGTACGTCACTCGCCACCCCTCCTCTGTCAGAGCCTCTGACTTTCCCTTTCGAGCAGGCGCTGGGGAGAGTAGCGGACAGCATGCGGGAGAGCAGCACGTCGGCGGATCGGCGGCTCCTGCTCAACGCGTACGTGGATGCAGAGCTCCCTCCTCCTGGTTGGCTGCTGTCGGCCTCAGTGACAGATGAGGCGGCGAGCAAGAGGGCGAATGGGGGGATGGGGCCGACGGCTGACGTTCATGGAATCATCTCCCTCCTCCCCAAACTTCTCTACCAGGAGGCCCTGGAGTACATGCAGCATGCGGGTGATTTCTCCCGTCTCCCCCATTTCCTCCAACCCCTCTCGCTCCTTCCTCCCCTGCCCTCCTCCCTCTTGTTTATCCCATCCCTCCCCCTCATCCATATACCCTTTCTTCCATCCTCACTTCTATCCTCCTTCCCTTTCTGTCTCTCTTCCTGTCGCTCCTACACTTTCTCGCTCTCCCCTGTATCAGCCTTGTCACTCGCTCATGGCTTTTTCCTGACCTTTCTCGTCTCAGGAGCTGCCCGACACCTTTATGCAGAAGTTTCTGCGCATACCCAGCAGGAAAACTCAGTGATCGGGGAGGAGAGGAGCCGGAGCCACCTGTCGAACGAGAGGAGAGGCGATGAGGGAGGAGGGAGAGAACTTCAGTCCACAAGCAGTTCAGCGTCCCTCCGGCGCTTCATTGGGTCACCGCAGCCCACGTACGAGTCGGGAACATGGCTGCACGAGCAGCTGAAGGAGAGGGACACTCTCTCCTCGCCTGTTGCTGAGAGCGACGAGCAGAACGGAAGACAGAGCTCGAGGCTACAGGAGGAGGAGGAAGAGGAGGAGGAGGAGGAGGACGTGAAAGTGCGACCGCGGAGGGGCATGCTTGGCAAGGAGCAAGTACAGGAGAGAAGAGGAGCCAAGCTCCTGTTGAAGGATGAGAGTTCAAGCGACAGTGAGAGAGAATCAAACATGTCACGACGGACAACAAGCAAGTCCTGGAATGGCTCGACAACTGTGAATGACAAGCGTTCAAAGAGACGGCAGGAAGAGGAGGAGGAGGAGGAAGAGGAGGAAGAGGAGGAGAGGCGTCCAGTGCCAGGTCAAGTGCTTCACCCTCGCCTCACCCAACGTCCTGTAACTGTGCATCAAGAGGAGGAGGATGGAAGGGAACCCAGTAAGGTGAAGCCATACGTCGAGGAGAAAGTGGAGGAGGACGGGAGGGAGGCAGAGACAAGGCGAACCAACGGAAACGATAACGAGAAAGCGACGAAGCCTGCAAGGCATCGAGAAACTTCTGCTGCTACTTCCTACGTGAGGTGAGTCTAGACCAGAAAAAAACGAAAGTCATCTGCTATCTTAGCTTTTCTCTTCTTCTTCTCTTCTGCTCCTGGCCCCCTTGCTCCTGGTCCCCTCCTTTGCAGCTCATTGCTGATCCCTCGTCCTCTTGACCTGTCTTGCAGCCTCTCCAAGTTCCTTCCCAGCAGCTTCCGCAGGAGCGAGTCGAACTCCAAAAGAGCAGAACCCCACAGCTCCTCGAGTTCCGAGGACGAGGGTTCTCAAGGTAGCGGAGCAGCACAAGACGAGCTCTTTCCTGACTTGCTGGCCTGCAGCAGCTGCGAGACGCAGGTCGCAGTTCGCAAGGAACATCGCTTCTCGTGGGGGATCAGCCAACAGCCATCGGACTTCCTCGGGAGGAGGAGGAGGAGGAGGAGGAGGAGGAGAGCGGTCGGAGTTCTCTCTGGAGAGGCAGAACTCAGCGACTAGCTCCGAGCTGAGCAGGCCCGTGAGCTCAATCGGCCTGCCCAAGAGAGAGAACTCGTCGCATCCTCTCGTGGTCCCGCTATCTCTACCTCGCCGAGCACGCAGCGGTTCTCCTTTCAGCATGTCCTCGAGCGAAGGAGGAGCATCGGGTCTGTCGTCCTACGCCAAGGAGATGATCCAGAAGAAACAGAACAAGCCGTCCATAGTCGTCGAGCAAGTGCTGGAGGACGTGAGGAGGAGGAAGGCAGCAAGCATGCAGGTGGAGAGGAGGAGATTGGCGTATGATGCGATGAGAATGTGTGGGGAGGGAGAGCAAGAGGGGGACGTGGGGATGGGAGGGAGGAGGGAGAGGGAGAAGAAAGAGGTAGGCTGAGTTACTCCGTCCATCATGTTTGTTGTGTTGATTATCTTGATACTCGTGGATGGTTCTCGTTTTGACTTGGTTCCAACCATTTTTCTACTCTCTCTGTCTCTCTCCCTTTCTCCCTTTCCCTTTCTCTCTCTCTCTCTCTCTCTCTCTCTTTCTCTGCCTCTCCCCTCTCTCTCTCTCTCTGCCTCCCTCCTCCCCTCCCTCCCCCCCCCCCCCCCTCTCTCTCTCTGCAGATCAACGCTCCCCTTCTCTCTCATTCCTCCAGCGTCGCTCACATGCTTATGGCCTTGGAACGAGCAAAAACTCCGGTACAGGTATCCAACGCCTCCCCCACCCCCTTCTCCTCTCGATTCACCCTTCCCGCTTACTTACCCAACTCTTCGTTCGTTCCTCGCTCCTTCCTCTCTCTGATCCTCCTCGTGACCTCCCTGTCAGACTTCGTCTCCGCAGACTCTGCGAGCAGACTTGGCGAGCGTCAAGGAGCAGCCGGACAAGAGCGACGTGCTCTCCAGGGTCAGGAGCGAGATCTCCCTCCTGCTCACCCCCCGGGGAGCCAAGAAAGAGCAGGAGAAGATCCCGTGGAGCTTCAGCCCCGCGTCCTTGGACCCCGTCTCTCCTCCCGAGGGCAGGGCGGAGAGAGGCAGGTGGGAGGCTGCAGACGTGCTAGCAGGGAGGTACACGGAAGGGAGGAAGGACGAGACGACGCTGCTGCTGCGGCTGCATGCTGCTAGCATGGACCCGCTGTCTCCTGCCTCCCAGTACGTTGACCTTGCATGCTATGAGGAGGAGGAGCTGACAGGACGGCAGGAGGAAGGCCAAGACCGTTTCCCGCATTGCCATGGCTGCCATTGCCTGTCACTCTTGCCTGGACGACCTGGACTTCGGTTGAGAGAGCCTGCGCGTGCGAGGAAGGAGGCGAAGGAACACGAACGAGAGGAGGGGGGGAATGAATAAATCTAGTGAGGGAGCGGTGCACGTAGAGAGCAGATTTGCAAACGTCCTTTCATCGTAACCTCCCGTCTCTTCACTCCTCCTCGCCCCTGCCCCCCCTCCCTCTTCCACCTTCTCCCCTCCTCTCCTTCCCCCGTCCTGCTCTTTCAGCTCCAGCAGGGCGTCAAGTGGTTCAGTTCCCCTTGCCGTGTCTCTTGCGACTCAGCCCCGCTCCCTTCCCCAACTTCTCTCTCTTCCTCTTTTGAGTCTCCAGCCGCTTTCTCTCGTACTTGGCCTTGAGCCGCTCCTCCCGCTCCTCCCCCCTCCCCTCCTGCTGCTTCGGCGGCTGAAAAGTCTTGAGCGGGTCCGCGCCCTCCTTCTTCCTCTTCTTCGAGTTGACTGGCAACGAGTCCCGCGCCCTCCTCTTCGCCTCCCTCTTGCTCTGCATCACTTGCGTGCGGAGCGAGGGCGGGAGAAGATAGTCGGGGACTTTAGCCAGATGCGCCATCTGACGGTTGGGAGCAAGAGTGCGATCGTGCCTGCCGCTCGCATGTCAGAGTCCTCCTACCTCCGTCCACCTTGTTGATCCTCCTCCCTCCCTCCTCCTTGTTGAATCTCCTCCCTCCCTCCTCCTTCTCTATCCTCCGCCTCCTCCGCCTCCTTCTCTCTCTCAGTCCTCCTATCTCTCCGTTCCTTTTTGAACGTTCCCTTTCTTTGATCACCTTCGCTTCCACCATACCTCCCCTCCCCTCCATCCAACCAAACCTCTCTCCTCCTTTTCTTCGGCATTTTCTGTACTGCATCTCCTGCTCCTGCTCCTGCTCCTGCTCCTGCTCCTGCTCCTCTTCTTCACCTCAGAGCTCGCAGGTCCTGTGGGTTGTGCTGGAAATGCTCCTTGAGGGTCTTGGAGTTGAGCAACTCAGACTCGATCTCCCTCAGCCTCGCGCGCTTGATCGCCAACTTGGTTACCCGCCTCAGACTGTCCTCTGCTCGATAACGGAAGCCCTCCACCTGGAGCAGAAGTGAGGAGGGGGGCGAGGAGAAAAGGAGGAAGAAGAGCGAAGGAGGGGGAGAGGAGGAGAGGAGGAGAGAAGAGGACAGTAAGCAAGAGCCCGGTGGAAGAGTAGAGCGCTTGAACAAGCAAAGGAGGAGGAGAAGGACGAGGAGAAGGAGGAGGAGGAGGAGGAGAAGGAGGAGTTTCACCTGCTGGAGGTTGAAAGGAAGCGGCTCGATCACTTGCATTCCTCTCTCCGCTTGCTTCCCCGCCAGTCCCTCAAGCCTTCCCACCTCCTCCGGGGACACCAGCGACAGCGCTGTCCCGTTCTGCCCAGCTCGCGCAGTCCTCCCGACCCTGCCGAGCACACCCACCAGTTGTCAGCAACCCCAGCAGGAGCTCACCAGGACTTCACCTGTGGGTGTAGGCGCGGAGGGTACGAGGGAGCTCGAAGTTGACGACCGCGTCAACGAGCTTGAAGTCAACCCCTCTCATCACCCCGTACTCCCCGTCCTTGGCCGCCTGCAGGCCTCGCGCCGCCTGTTTCATCGCCTTCTTTGCCTTGCTCGGCTTGCCCTTCCCCGCCTCCTTCGCCTGCTCGATGATCTCCCCCTGCCGCGCCAGCCGCTCCTCCTCCAGCTCTGCTGTCGCCTGAGGTCTGATGTGAGCGATGATGAGAGAAGAGGAAAGGAAGAAGAGGGGAGGAGAAGATCTGAAGTTTGTTACCTTTCCGTTGGCCTTATTCTTTGACGTCTTCTTTGAGGTTTTCTGCGATGCGTATCAAAACTTTGCACTCTCACGATGTTATCATTACATCATCAAGGTCGCGTTTTCCCGTCTTTTCTTCGACTTCTTCCTCTTCGCTTTCATCATCCTCGCTAGCTTCCTCCTCCTCCTCCTCCTCCTCGTCTTTCTCCTCCTCCTCCTCCTCCTCCTCCTCCTCCTCCTCCTCCTCCTCCTCCTCCTCCTCCTCCTTTGCTTGCTTCTTCTTTCCAGACTTGTCTTGCTTTTTCTGCTTTTGAATCTTCAAGCTTGCTTGCTTCTTCGTTGAGCCCTGTTTTTTTGACTTTTTGAGCGCGTCCTCGTCCTCGTCCTCGTCCTCGTCCTCGTCCTCGTCCTTGATAGCTTGTTTCTTCTTCCCCGACTTTCCTTTCGTCTCGACTTTGGCACTTGTTTTCTTCTTCTTTTTTGAGCTCTTCTTTGAATCTTTTTCCTCCTCCTCCTCCTTCTCCTCCTCCTCGTTCTCTTTCTCTTTTTCCTCCTCCTCCTCGGGATCGCTCTCGAGAGCTTCATCCTCGTCTTTCTCAGCATTCCCAAGGCTCTCATCAGTTGCAATCACGTAGTTGTAGAACCCACGATTGAACCCCTGTATGATGCTCATCCTACTGTTCTGCGGCAGCTCAGAGTTCAGCACCGCCGCGCGGATCGAGAACTGCTCGAGGAAGAGCTTCAGCTCGTAGCAGCGATCCACGTCGTTGACGAAGAAGAGCACCTTCCCCTGCAGGATCCCCAGCTTCAGCAGCACGTAAGAGATCAGGAACTTGTCCCTCTGCGAGCAGCGCAGCGAGAATTGAGCAAGGCGGCCCTGCGCGCTCTCGTTGTCCTCCGCCTTCAGAGTCACGGGATTGTTCATCACCAGCGCCTGCAGCTTCTCCGTGTCCTCCGACAGCGTCGCCGACATGAGCATGCACTGGCAGATGTTGGGGAGGCTGCCCGCAATGCTCTTGATCTCGTCCTCGAACCCAAAGGACAACAGCAGATCAGCCTCGTCGAGGACAATCATCTCTGTGCTCTCCCTGAGCAGAACATTGTCAAGCTTTACGTGCTGGTCGAGGCGCGAGGGCGTCGCGATGAGGACGTGGGGCTTCGTGAGAAGGATCGACTTCTGGGCCGCAAGACTCTGATCCGCCGTGATGGCAGCCAGAGTGACTGACGGAACGAAGAAACAGAGCTCGGAGAACACTTGTCTGACCTGCTCGACAAGCTCCCTCGTTGGGACAAGCACGACTGCGACAGGTCCTGACCTCTCAATCCTGGTGTTCTTGTTGTAGCCCTCTGACTGGAGAATCTTCTGAAGGATCGGAAGCGCATACGCTCCTGTCTTGCCCGAGCCCGTCTTTGCCTTGGCCAGGATGTCCTTGCCCTGAAGGGCGAGAGGAATAGCTGCAAGAGAAGACAAGATAAGACATTCGAGAAGCAGGAGCAGGAGGAGCAGGAGGAGCAGGAGGAGCAGGAGCAGCAGCAGGAGCAGCAGGAGGAGGAGCAGGAGGAGGAGGATGAGGAGAAGAAGGAGACTCCTCCTGGAGAAGCAGGAGGAGCAGGAGGAGCAGGAGGAGCAGGAGGAGCAGGAGGAGTGGGAGGAGCAGGAGGAGCAGGAGGAGTGGGAGGAGCAGGAGGAAAGGCTCAACCTTGAGTTTGGATGAGAGTAGGTTGTTGCCAACCCATGTGCGCGATCGCCTTCTTCAGCCTGTCGTCAAGCGGGAGCGATGAAAACCCTTCCTGCAACCAACGAGTGAGTGGACTGAGCTTGCAAAACTCAGAAGCTACATCCATCTCCATGGGCGCCATGGCAAAGGCGAGGAATCAACTCAGTTGCGAGGAGAAGCTCCTGCCGGCGTGGGGTTGAACTTTTCACTTGCTGCGATCTGATGTACTTCAAACCTGCAGCATGAGGTTAGGAGAGTCAGTCGAGCAACTTGGCGGTGCCAGCTCCTAAAACATCCCCAACCCCTCCTCCGCTCTCAACCCCGAGCAGCAGAAATTCTCCATGATGCAAGACTTCAACCATAACCACCCTCCTCCTGCTCTGCTCCTCGTCTTCTCCCTCATCTTCACTTGTCCCAACCAGCTCATACTTGACATGTCCCTCCCTCTCCTCTCTCTCTTCCCCCTCACTACTCTCTCCTCCTCCTCCTCCTCCTCCTCCTCCCCCTCCCCCTACTCCTACTCCTACTCCTACTCCTACTACCACTAGTCTCCTCCTCCCCGTCCCCCCTCCCCTCCTCCTCCTCCACAACCTCCTCATTCCATTTCATTCCATCATGCCGCACGTGACAGCCGAAGGCCTCGTCCCCCCTCACCCCACCCGGCCTGCCGGTCCCGGGGCCGGGCACCGATACTGAAACTGCCGGGAAGAAGGGAGGAGGCAGTGGGAGGACATGAAGGAGGCTGGGGAGGAGAGGGGCGATGGGGGAAGGGGAAGGGGTGGGAGCAGGGGATAGAAAGAACTTTGGGAAAGGAGTGCATCCTTCATATGAGTCGGTAGAGGAGGGTCGACATTAGCTCCAGCTAGAAAGAGTAGAATTAACGTTGAGAATGAGAGACGCTCGGCGTGGCTGCTGCCTTGCTGCTCTTGCTTCCAACCTGCTGACTCATGAAACATCAGTCGCAGCATGCCGAGCCCAGGGATGAAAGCGATTGCAGAAAGCTCCTTTCGCAAGGATAGGGACAACGATGAAGCGTCTCATGGTATGATGGCGAGTTGAGTGATCTCCTGTCGTTCTGACTTGAAGTTCCACCATGCAGCGACATTGAACATCTGGGGAGGGAGCTGTGCTCTTATGGACATCGTGTGGCTTGCATTCCTTGTGTTCAAGGCCTCGAGACGACGTAGGGACAAAGAGCTGTCTCATCCAGAGGTCTAGGACATGCCGTCCCTCCTGTTTCATGTGATAGCCTAGCAGGAACTCTTTCCCATGATAGGGATCATGTTGTCTGTGCTGCTGCTGGCCAACATCTTCTCCGCTTTCATGGTCCTCGGCTTGGCTTGCTGTGATTGCCTGACGCACGTGCAGCGCGGGGTGAAGATGCATGTGGCGAGGACGTTGCTGAGAGCGAAGAACTGCATCGTCTTTGTCTGGGCGAGTCTCGCTGCGGTAGGACATGACAGCTTGCGATGGTTGATGGCATGCCGAAGTCAATGATGCGTCTCATCCCAACGATTATACGAGAAATGGGAGAGGGTTGAATATCTGGTGTTGGTCCTTTAGTGACCGAAGACGATGGCTTCCATGTTGATAGTGTGATCTACTTTCATGCTCTTGTGCTCTTCCTTGATGGATGTCTGGTCTCCTCGTTCTTGCAGTAGCCATCAAAGTTGATTGCTCGAACCCTGACGATAGTTGCCTCTGCTTTCAGGACACGCAAGACATGATGCATCAAAAAGAAAGATACGTCCAAACCTTGGTCATGATCGAGGTCTTGTTCCCCACGAGCCTTACTGGTGGAACTGACTTCATGCGTTCCAGGTGTTGGGTGGACATCTCGTCTTCAGGCAGAAATCCGAGCACGTCTTTTGGTTCCTCCTGTTGTCTTGGGCTTCTGCTATTCCATGGAGAGAGATATTTACCAGTCCCGTAAGACCCGCACCGAGTTTAAATGATGCTCGTCTCACACCTGATCCTACCCAGTCAACCATGTCTGCACAGACGATGTCGATAACAAGTTGAGTTTGCTAGTTGCGTCCGTATGGTTTTGACCTGATGGTTCAGGTGAACTCGCCGATATGATGGGCAACCAAACAAAGCTGCTGGACCTTGAGCAGAGGGTGAGATGTCTTGAAGGACGAGAGGGCTGGGAATGACGCGCGTTGCTGTCAGAACGGCGTGTTGGGGAGACTGGGAGCTAACATCTTCTTCTACTTTGTGATTGAAAGGATCCACACGTCAGTCAGGAGAGCCTGGATCCTGCAAGTTCACAAGCCAGGGCACGTGCTCGGGGGGATCTTGTCGGAGATCGGGAAGGAGGAGAAGGAGGAGGACGATGATGAGAAAACGCTGCGAGCAGTCAACGAGTGGGACAGATACTACTCGGATGAGGAGCTCTTGCTGCTGGAGAAGGAGGTGAGGGAGGCGGGGAAGGTATGCAACAGCGACAGTGAACCACGTGTGCAGTCGAAGATCAAGGAGGAGAAGGAGCGATCAGGTGAAAGCCGACGAGAACATGGGATGGGGAGGGGGTAACTGATTGTTGTTGACAGTCGTGGAGTTTAGAAAGACAGACATCCTGGTGCTGTTGTTGCTTTATTGGTTGTGTGTCTGTTGACGCTCCTTTACCAGCTCGGCAGCGGGTCGTTTGGCAGTGTTTACAGGGTCTGTGATGGCTGCCGAGAGTCGCTCTTGTGACGTGAAGGGCAGGCGGTAGATTGCAGAACATCCCAACACCTCGCTGTGAAGACTGTGCCGCTGAAAGTGAGACAAGAATAGGCTCCTCTGCTGATAAGATCATCTTTATGCTCTTTACGATGATGATGATTAGAGCAATGATGAGAACGATGTCGATGATGATGATAATAACGATGATGATAACGACGACGATGATGACGATAGCAACATGATCGTAGAGGTGTTGATAGCAACATGATCGTAGAGTTGTTGTGATCTTGAGGTCGCCTTTCTGGCTTGAGGCTCATTGGCGATGCTCACAGCACGATCGATCTGTGCGAGGGGACAAGGAGCTCATGAACGAGTTGAGCACGATGAAGGTGAGGAGACAACCTTGCTGCTCGAGGGTTGACTGCAGCAGAAACTCTCTCATCGCAACATCGTCTGCTACCTCGGCACTGAGATACGAGACGACGAGCTCCTGCTGGTTATGGAGTATTGCGCCGGAGGAAGGTGAGGAAGGGGGCTGAAGGAGGGATGCGGAGTGGAGGAGGAAGGAAGGGGAGGGAGAGGAAGAGGAGGGGCTGGCGTGAAAGTGTCGCTGCAGCCTTGCCTCGATACTGCATGGGATGGGAGCGATAGACGAGAACATTGCGAGGATCTACACGAGAGATCTCGTGGAGGTGAGCTGGACTAGTTTGGGAGCCCTTGTGGAGACTGTGGAGCTGACTGGCGAGATGTGCCAGGGTTTGAACTACCTGCACAGAAACTACATGGTGCACAGGTGAGAAGGTCTGAATGGTGTTGAATAGCTCGTCATGGTCGGGCAGGGACATCAAGTCGAGCAACTGCCTCCTGTCATCGGATGGCGTGATGAAACTAGCTGACTTCGGGGCTGTAAGACTTTACCGCTCTCTGCTGTCAGCGCTTGACGAACTTGTCCTGGGCAGACGAAATCTCTCAACAGCGCCAGTACCAACGACCTCCAGGGAACTCCGGGATACATGGCACCTGAGGTATGATCAAGGAGTGCGGCAGGAAGTTGGTTGACTTGAGCAGGTGCTGTGGAGCAAGACTCTGCATCGTCAGAGTGACGTGTGGAGCCTCGGGTGAATATTCAACATGATCTTGATGACGATAAGATTTGTTGTTGATGATGACGATGATGTGCGATGATGTCTTGGTGTTCTTGTTCTTGTTCTTGTTCTTGTTCTTGTTCTTGTTCTTGTTCTTGTTCTTGTTCTTGTTCTTGTTCTTGTTCTTGTTCTTGTTCTTGTTCTTGTTCTTGTTCTTGTTCTTGTTCTTGTTCTTGTTCTTGTTCTTGTTCTTGTTCTTGTTCTTGTTCTTGTTCTCCTTGTGGTGCCCTGTTGTTGGGAGTTGTTGATGCGAGAAAGTTGATGCTGAGTTTGCTATTTTCTCTTGCAGATGTTGTGTGTTGGAGATGTTAACCCTCGAACTTCCCTATGGAGCTGCAAACTACGATCAACAGCTTCAGCTGCATTATCTTTATCGTTTAGCACAGGTTTGTTTGCTGCTCTCCTCCCCTCCTTTCCCCTCTCCTCTCCCCTCCCCTCCCCTCTCCTCTCCTCTCCTCTCCTCTCCTCTCCTCTCCTCTCCTCTCCTCTTCTAACTTTCTCTCTTGGTCTTTACTATCTTTCCGTTCTCTCATCGCTCTCATGTCAGGAACGTGACGATCCACACCTCCCTGGCTCGCTGAGTGAGGACGCGAGAGAATTTATCAAGAAATGTCTACGGGTTGTAGCGAGGGGAAGAGGGGGATGGGGGATGGGAGGGGGTTGGGAAGAGGAGGGGGGCTGTAAGAGGAGGTGTGTGCTGTGGTAGTCTAATGAGGTTTGAAGGTGGACCCATCTCTGAGAAGCAACACATTGAAGCTC